GCACGAATGCTGCAGTTTGTCAGTTTTGTCAGAATCACAGTTTTCCACAGGAAAAGACTGATTTCTGGAGGATAATTTTTAACTGAAATTGTCAAATGAAACAACATTTTGAGCAAATTACTGCGTTGCAATTTGACATAGACCACGAGTTCTAAATCACAGCCCCCTTTCTGCCACAGGACAAAAGCTCTGGTCCTGCTATCTCCCTGTGCCTTGGTTCCCTGTCCAGACCCCTATCCCATGAGCATCCTATGAGCACTCCTCTGCTCCAGCTCCATCTTTCAAAGGTGCTCTGGCTCGGCCCAAAGCAGGCATCGTGCTGGGGGAGCTGCTCCAGGGGAGGAGGCTCTGGCAAAGAGGAACATCCCAAAATGCTTGGCAAGACTTTTTTTTTTTTGCTGATGGGGTGTAAAAATACTGCACGTGCCTCTGGAGGACTCACCAGGCTGTGGAAAAGCCGTGGGCCAAATTTGGCTGGAATCAGACGGCTGGTTTTAAACACATTCACTGGAGAAGGACAATTAAAAGAACAAAACCCACGCGCGAAGCAAACCTCACACTGTCAACTTCCAGTTCAATGTACATGAGCTTAGAAAAACAGCCTATATCTAACTCCTGGTTTTAAAGGGAATGGTTTTATTCTTAATTACAGTAAACACGGATGAGGACTTATTTCTAACTATTAGTTTATTAGCACAGTGGGAAACAAATAGTTTGGGGAAATTGCACTTGAAAAATACATTGACTATAATTAGATGTAAATTAATTAGCACTTAGTATGACACACTAATGAGACAGAAGGTTTTTTTTATTTCATTGCAAACTTCTACTTCTATCATAGCTAATCAAAGTATTTTAATATTACGAAGTCTCAAAAAGTAGGAAATAATTTATTGTTTGAAAGCATAAAGATTCTTGTAAAAAAAACCTTTCATCAAGAACTTTAATAATTTTAGAACTCTTTTAAGTTGTCTAGCCGAAAAGTAGGTAAAAAAGTTTTCTTGTCTGCCTCTGAATTTTTTTTTTTTTAAAAAGCTTGTGTAACATCTTTCTCCATAGTGTGTTGATACAGAAAGTAGCACAACATTTTTCTACTTTTAAATCGTTCCCATCGCTCCATTCACTTTAGCTCTCAGAGTTCAGAGGTTTGAAAAAGGATCCCAGCAGAGTTTTAACCTGAATGGAAACTCTTAATAAGCAGGGATGAAGGCTCCAACCCACCTCTGCCAAAATAACGATGCCGTTCTGCCGGGCTGAGGGCTGGGCAGAGCATGACAGCGACTAGGGGAAGACTTTAGCTTAAAATTGAGAATTGTGTCTCGGTTCTTGCAAGGAGAGAGGCTCAAGCAGGGCTTACCTGGGGAACAGGGGGTTCAACTTGCTTTTTAGGATGTTAAGGCAGCTCCTCCAGGACTTCCCTGGAGGACTTGGTTCCACTAGCTGAAAGCCTTGTACCCAAACCACCACCAAGTCACTGGCGCCGTGGCCATCGCAGGATAAATTAAGACTAAAGAGGTTTTAACAGTTTGGCTGAGATCTCCCACCATCAGTGAGCCAAGCTTTCCAAACCGTGACTCTTTTTCTTGTCATCACTTCTCTAGTGCTCCAGTAGCAAAGACTTTCTGGGCAAAGATGACAGGTATACTCAGAGGAATCTACAGGAATTAGATGCTCCTCTCTCACTGCACCTAATTCATCCAGGGGGAACTGGGCACCTCCTTCTCCTATGGCTTGGTCGAGTGGTCGCTAAAACCATCACAAGGACTATCAAACCAAATTACCTGCGAGCCAGGCCCTCGAGCTTTGGGATCCCAAGCCTAAGTGTGAAAAATGAAAACAGGAATTTAAGAGGAAAAAATAAGATTCATACTGTTTTAGAAACATACAGAAGCAAAGGGTACAAATGAGTTCCCCCCTTAGGTGATGCATAGAGTTTTCTGTGGGCTCTCTGCACGGAAGTAGATTCGTCATTACAAAATAAATTAAATTAAGGTCGAACCATCATTTCCATCTAAAAGCAACTAGACCTTGCACCATGCGGCACTTATTCATAATAAAAAGAGTTTAATAAATAGCTCATAAACGGTGATTTTGTTCTATTTTAAAAAATACAAAGTTGCCATCCGTTCTGCTCTCACTCAGCTCCCGTTGCTGCGGGAAGTTTCGCTAGTCCCGACGTGGGAGCTTCTCCTTTTCTTATGCACATTGCTCAGCTCTCCTAGTTTCCAGTAGCGTTAGTGTTGCACTTGTGAAGCAGTAAGGAGAACAGGAACACAGTCGCAGGGAACCACCCCGGCTCAGCTCTGCCTCTCACTCTTGCTGTAAGTAGTCTAGAGGGGCTCCTGCCAGACAGCACTCAGCACCTTGCCGGATCAGGCACTAGGGCTAGTCGAAATGAGAATTCAAGTTTTCTAAATGTTAGGCAAGAAATGATATTTGCAAATATGCTCAAGTCCCACCTATTTTAATCCTTCCCTTTCTAGGGTTTCAAGATGCACCCACCCTCTTCTCCCCCACCTGCGTTGCCCTGAGGGCCACCTTCCACCCAGAAATGGGAGACCCCCTTACCACCCCATCAGGGAGTCTCTAGTGCTCAGTAGATGGGTGCTCTATGGTTTCCGAAGCACAGGTCAGTTTTAGAAAGTGTTGCCTTCAAAAATATTTTCTTTTTTTTCTTTTTCTTTTCTTTTTTTTTTTTTTTCTAAAGAGGCAAAGCTTATGGTGTGTCAAAGGAAAGTGGCTCACTTGATGAGTCGTTCATAATCAACCTTGGGCTTGGTTATAAATGATATCTGCAAGTTTGTATTAAGGGATTTCAATATTAGAAAAAAAGTCGTACAACAATTTTTCTGTAATCCTTTAAAACACACTGGTGGCAAGTCCTTTGCAGTTTCTCCAAGACTTTGTACACACTACAAAAGTGCAGGAACGTGAACTGCCTTCATCTCGTGACACCAAGAACTGAAAGAAACAAACTCCGAATAGCTTCAAAAAAAGCTACGAGCGTGTAGCATCTTTATGTTGGTCCCGAGGGAGGATCTCCACTTGTTACCTCAACACATTCCACAACTAAAGAGGTGAGAGGGTATTTAAACATCACTCCTTCTCTGTCATGACAGATCCGTTCTATTTCAATATCTCTTCAAAAAGCGTGAGGAAGGAAGGTACTTCAAACAGGCGTCGTTCTCCTGTTGACCATGTTGACGTGGAGTCCTTCCTTAAATTCCTTCTGAAGGAAGTTGTGAACCTGCAGAAAACTGGCCTCTTGGTCTGCATTGTAGCTGGCAGCTGTAAGAGTGTACATGGAAATTTCGTTCATGGGAATGGTGCTTGCTATCTTCATGCCAACGGGAGAAATGTCTCTAGATGGAGAAGGCTCTGTAGACCGAGAACTGGATCTGGACCTCCGCCTCCTGTACCTATAACTTGGCATCCTGGCGTAAGGAGAACTGGAAGAAGTCTTAAGGAATTCCCTCTTGGTCTTAAACCTCAGCTCCTTGTTCTTCTCAATATAAATGTTCACAGCCAGAACACCTATGGTTTCGGCCACGATAAAAGACAAGGCTCCAAAATAAAAAGACCAACCATAGTTGTAATGGTTCTTTTTGTCCTCATCTCGTTTGTCACTTGGATCACCTGCATTGCTTGATATGTAGACAATGATACCTATGATATTACTGAGTCCTAGAGAGAGAAAAACATAAATCAGTGGTTATGGGGCTCGGAAGAAAAAAATTCAAGCCACGTTACTTTCTGGATCTGAACGGTTCAAAGACTGTGACCAGGAAATTTTCTTACATTTATCTACTCTTTCATTTTTCTCAAGATTTAATTTATTCTTGAAAAACAACGAATATATCCACATCTGGGTTCCATATGCTCGCACAGATCCTAAAATATTCAGCAGGATTTGTTCCCATCTCTTCATTGCCACGTTGAGAAAGAAGCAGCATATGGAGGTCGCTAGTATTGTTAGTGGGACTGTAACATTCAGAATAATAATAAAAATACATTTTTGAGCTCAGGGCTATGGCTGTTCACCTTGATCAAGATGAGTTCTCTTCCACCTTGCTGAATTTTCATCTAAATGCAGCATGCTTAATCTGAGCTTCAGGGAAAGCTATTAACAATGTGGCTGACTCTCTAAGACGCTCACCTATAATAGGTGAATTTTTTCTGCCATCATACAAAAGAAAAGAAAAAGGGCCTGGATGTAAGAGGCACCTGATTCATCTAATGTTTAATACATTTTGAATACTGCAAAACCTGCTTGTTACTGACTCTAGCTTCCTTTTTTAGGAAAACTAAAAGCTTTTCTAGAATATACTTATTGTAGAGCATATGTTTGTCTTAAGAAATTTGCCTTGTGTGACGTTACTAGTGCCCTTGATCCTGGAAAGGGGTGCAAGGAGAGATCAGCCCCCAAGCTTTTCCAAAATCCTTTTCAGTTTGGAGAGGCAGCAGTTCTTAAGGACTCAATTTAAGGAGAACCTACCTGCTGCAACAAAGAGAATCCCAGCGCTGAGAATAATGTTGTTTTTGCTGTTGTAAATCCTTCCTGCTCCAACACAGAGTCCTCCCAGCAACAGCAATATTGTGCTTAGGATGGGGAACACACTGGAGGCACGGACAATGCCTGGAGGAGAGACAGGGAGAAGACCAAGACAAACAGTAATCATTTCAGATCCCTCCTCGGGTGCAAGTGTGGAGATTGCAAAGTCTCAGAACCCCTGGCTTTTGCTGGAATCACCACTGAGTCTTCATTTCTGGGCATATTTTTGAGAGCCAAGGGTGTGGTTAGGTGGTCAATGTGGTACATGCACTCTCAACTGCATAACTTAAATCTTTTAACCTTTCTCCTAGAAAATCCAGTGTTATCACCATTATCTGACACCATCACGTCCAGAACATTTCTGGCAATGCATGAGGTAAGTGACAATAAGACCCAGCATCATGCAGGGAGTGGCAGTGAAAACTTCATGAGCTGGTTATGAACCCTACAACGTTTGGGGATGGCTTGAGCAGACGGATCTGTTCCTTGGTACATGTGCAAGGGGAGCAAACAGCAGTTCTTGGAGTCTGCAGAGTTTGTGTTGCCAGCAAGCACAGGTAGTAACTCCTTTTTCTTTTGTTAAATATTAAGAACATTGAAACCTTTCATATTTCTAAGGAAGAAATTGTAACAATTGTGTCTCAGGTATTTGTGTTTAGTTTCCTGACAGCTAAGTAGAGTAATTTAAAATTCTGTGTGCTTCAGTCCATTCACCAGCATGGGCTATAAAATCCCTGAAAAAAAAATTTAAAACACCACTTCAAGCCAGATTTCAAAGTCGCTGCACTACAAGACTAAGCAGCAGTCGAAAGGGGAGTGGCAGGGGGAGAACAAAAGGGCTGAGAAAAAATAAACAAGTGCAAGAGAGACGTCTGGGTGGTTAAGAACCAAAGGGGGAAACCTGGCAAGCCTTCCTGAAAGGCAGACTGAGGAACTGAGTTATACTGTTAGAGGACTTTTTTTTTCAAGGAGGGGAGATAAGGTGCTGGATGCTGCTGTGGAAAGCAGGATTGTGCCAGAGCTGAGGACTGTGGAAAGGCAAAGGCGTGGAGGGGAGTCCTGGCAGGGCGAGGGGGTGCCAGGACGTGGGGCTGCTTGAGGTGAGGGGGGTGTCAGGGGCTGCTGTCACAGGGGGTGGAAACCCCACCGCACACTGGGGGGGCACGGGCACCCCCAGGGAGCAGGAAACAGCATCGGGGCCAATGTGCTGCCGGGTGCCAGCTCCCTGCCTGGCACGCACAGCGAGCGGTGCCCGTTTCCTGGGGAGGAAGGGCCAGATGTTCCAGCTGATGCTTTCTCACTTGACTTTTGATGGCTGCGGCGTTCCCAATTTACTGAATTGCTTCCTAACGATTCCTCTGGTGACTGGTGGCAAAACACCCACTGATTGCAAGAGGGACAGGATTGGGTATTTACTAACAGCCTTGCAAAGCCCCCAGGACCCCCAGCTACAGCCCCAGCCATCATCAGGATGGTGCAAATATAAAATAAAAAAGGCAGTCCCTGCCTGAGAAGCTTATTCCTGTATCATCCTGCAACAGGGAGAAAAAAATCCATCTCCTACTGAAACTGGCAACGTCCCTGCACGTGTCCTTTACAGACAGGGCATTTTCTAACTGGCTCCAAACCCAGCTCAGACAGACACATTACCATTCAGACAGCATCTCACAACTGCCATATCAAAGTGACGTGGGTGTAAGGTCTCTAATCAAAGGCTGTTGAGTGCTGAGAGCCCGTTCTGTTGTCCTGGGTGTATCCCCATGTGTGTGGTACCAAGTAACAGAGCTTTGACTTTCGGGTCAGTTTTTAGAGTCGGTTATCAGAAAAAGATTCCACGTCAGTCTGTGCTGCTGGAATGTGCAGCCACCACAAATCACTGTCTGCCTGGTAGTGCCCTGGCAAAAAGCAGCATGAGCTTAAAACCTACCATGGCCCACCCCTTCTGGGTGTTGTTTCCTGTATTTTATGGTCTTGTTGTTTAGAATGATTTTAATTAAATCAAAGAGCTTTCCTAAAATGCTTCAGTGATTTCATCAGAAGGAACTTGCCAGACGTGCCAAATTTAGTGGGTGGGTTGTTCTACTTGTAGCGATCATCACAGAGTCATGGAACGGTTTGGGTTGGAAGAGACCTTAAAGATCATCATGTTCCAACCCCCCTGCCATGGGCAGGGACATCTCCCACTAGAGCAGGTTGCTCAAAGCCACATCCAGCCTTGTAATCTCTAGAGATAATTTTTCTATAGTAGGTAATTAATGTGAAGAGAAACAAAACACCCAGTGTTCTCCTCCTGTAAAACTCTGCAGTATTTTCATTCCCACAGTGTGTACTTTTAGCTCTGAAATTTAAAAGGTAGCTCATAGGTACCATGTAGAATTTACATATGCCTCCTGATACTGGTAATAAAATGACAGCACATCAAAAAACATTAAGGCAATCTGGTTTTTGCTTTCTCCCTTGCTTTTTTTTCCCTTGTTTACCGTCCTGTCTGTTTGCATTGGCTGCTCTGCACCAGTATGTGTTGTGACACCTCCTTGGGTGAAGCTCTGCAGCGTGCTGTGCTGCTCCTCCCCATGGGGCTGCGAGCCCCTCTGCCCAGGATTTTGTTCTCCTCCAAAAGGCAGGAGCCAAGGAAATGTCTTTAAAAAGGGGATTCTAGAACATGTGGGGAAGAAGTGCATGGAAGTGTAGATGTGACCCAGAAACAGGGTCCCCTGCCCCCTCTGGAGGGCTGCACTTTTGCAGCAGAGCCTCGAGGATGAGCACGGCTGAAATCCTCTCCTGCAAAGGGAGAGGTGGAGGTGCAAGGCTGGATGGACAGCAGCTCTGGGCAGGGCAGGAGAGGAGGCAGCAGGAGCACACGTGGCTGGGTGATGCAGCCCATACCTCTGCCCCTTGCTGGGTCTCTGCACAGACAGGAAGGGGATTTTTTGTTGTTTTAGACACACAGACTGGCACGTGCTGTCACAGGGAGGGTTCAAGAGCAGGGGTCTTGTCTGAGCTTCTTTGCCCATGTTAGTTGTCACTGTGGCTGCAGTTTGCTTGGTTGTGCTGGGAGAAACCTGAATGCTGAAGGGCAAAGTCCAAACTCGTGCTTCTACCCACACTCTGGACCAAAATCTCCTAAAATCAGTAGTTTTTTTCACTGATTTCAGTAGGGTTTTGAACCAGGGCTGGATTCTGCTAGCACCATAATGTTTACATTTATCTGATGCCTATATTAGATTGGTCACTGTGGAGCAGGCTGAGACCCCTCAGGCTGCTCTTTCAGAAGCACAAGATGCACACAGCCTTGGTGCCTTCATCTAAGCCAGACAGGAAAAACAACTCAGGGAAACTTGTGCCAAGAAATGGCTAAAGATCATGGTGAATGATACAGAGACAGCAGATTGCACAGAGGGCAAAAATGGGCCGGGAGGTCTCACGTCTCCTTTGGAACAGGATGCAAATATCCTCTTGTCTTAGACAATGATTTGGTCCCTATTACATATCCGTATGAGCTCATCTCTTCTGGATTTGGGTACATAACCTTTCAGTAATCTCTAAATCAACCATATGCATTTAAAGTGGAGCTGCAGTTTTTCCTGCAGCAGTCCAAGCAGAGGAGCCCTGTTACCTGTGCAGACTCTGGGAGGATGAGCTGTCCTCTGCGGGGGGAGCTGCTGGAGACTCGTTTTGCAGAAGACATACAGGGTTAGACTGACTTGTTTTTAAGGTCTGTACTTATTTGCTTTTGAAAACAGCTTTTAGGAGCACTCGTCACAAACACACTTACAAACAATTTACCAATCTCATGTCTCACTGTGGAGCTGTAGACTGTTTTTCCCAGTTCTCCTTTTTTTCCAAATAAAGAAGGCATAATACGCTTTTATCAAGATGCTATTTAACTCCTCTTTCCTTTACAGTCCTTTTACTAATGATGTTTCTTTCCTAAAGCTGACTTGGCATCAATTTAACATTAGTTCCAAGGCTTTGTATGAAAGATAAATGCAGCTGTGCTCACACTCTCTAGCTTGCCTTTGCCCGAGCACTGAAATCATGTCACCCAAGCGCTATGACTGATCTAAATTGACAAGAGTAAAGATGAAAAAAATCTGGGTTTCCTGGTAAAACGTACTTTTCAGAGTTTATTTTTTTTTTCTTCTTGTATTAGCAAGTAGAGGTTGTTTTCCAGAAGCGAGCAGAAGGGCAGAGTGGTTCTCTAAGTGGTGTTTCAGGTAATTAATAGCAGTGTAATTGAGGAGTGTTTTGCCTTGCTGGGTGTAGCAGCCAGCAGCATCATTCATTGCTCCCTCAAGCTTTCCCAACACCTTGTGAACTGCACTTTCTTTCTCTGGTAAAGGGCACAGCTTTCAGCTTGGCTGGTCAGCTCTTCTGTTCAAAAGGAATAACTAGGCAAGGTGTCCTCTGGGGAAAGGGAAATCTAAGTCAAACTTTGCAGGATTCATGAAGTTTCATGCTCAGGTTCCAAGATTTCCTATCGGCTGAGCAAAGGGTCATCTGGAGGAGATTAAAAGATTGCCCTTATTTCAACGACTGGGTTGGTGGGTGAAATTACTTCTGTGGCAGCTTACACACCAGGGGTCAAATTACTTCTGTGGCAGCTTACCCCCCAGCAAAGAGCAGCAATGGCTGGCTGGCCATGCAGGGAAGCCACAGCCTGTGTTCATGCTGAGATTTGCTGCTATCTGCAGAATTTTCAGCTTCCTTCCTACGACGCAGTAACTTCACTGCAGGGGGAGGCGGCTCAGCAGCTGCAAAGGATGAGGCTTGTGTAAGGGTTGGGCTTAAGCACCAGGAAGAGCTTCCTAATGGGCTGGAACCCACTCTTCAAACCTGTTTTGATATGCTAATCAGATAGATACTCCCTCTAAAATCTCCTTCTAGATATAGAATAAGACATGGGTTGTATTGTCCAGGAGAGAAGCCTGTAGAAGAGAAGTCTTTCTGGCCATGTCTGTTAACCCTGTGATTTAGGTATTAATTTTCACTTACGGAGAAGGTATTCTGAGCTGTCGTGGTCATAGTCATTGTCTTCAGGGAAGTGGTTGATTCGGAAGCAATGTCCTTTGTAGATTCCTAAATGAAAACAAAGCAAAGATAGCACATAAGGAATGGAACCAGGTGAATGTCCTTCTGCCAGCTCTGCTTTATTTCATTTTCCTCACAGGCTACATAAATAAATTATTCTCCTGTAGGGTTGCTCTCTGCTTTTTTTTATGCCATCAGACATCTCTAAGGTCACAAATTTTGGGCAGGTTGGAGCCTAGCTGAAGGAAGGGAGAGCCAGGATTCCCGGGCTCTTTTCTCCAGACTCCTACTAATATCACTCCCTTGAGTTTTTTAATCTCCCTGTGCTTTATGTTATCAGTGCCCTGCTTATCTTACAAGCATACGGAGTTTGCAAAGCTTCTTTTTATTCCTTGAGTGACTGTCACTCTGGTCCCTGCTGCATGGCTGGGGCTCCCCAGCTAAGCCAAGTGCCAATGTGGTGCCCATCACCCCTCTCCTGTCTCGTCCTCAGTGAAGCGTTGTCTTCCCTTATCAGAGCTGGTGAACACTGAACTGTCTGAGGCCTCTTCAATTACTCTCTAGGCTTGGAAAACATGACCATAAATCTCTTCCTGCTGCAATTTAAACCTGCACAACCCTCTCAAAGTTGACTCAGCTTTTAGCCATATATTTGTTTAGTTAACTGGGAGCCTGTGCAGCCAGCCAGGGCACGAGTGTGAGCTCCTGATACCTGAAGGGACAACGTCACAGTTGGCAGGATGAACCCCTTGCTTGACTGAACAGGATGAAGTTCAGCACTTTGTCCACCTGGGTAAAGCTTTCCATTAGTATTTGGTGTTATTTTGTGTTATTTTCTGTCACGGTTACCCAGTCCTAGCTGCAGTCGGGTAGCTGCTGTGCAGCGAGCTGCACGGGGACCTCTCCCCAGAGAGCTCCCTGCAGGAGCGAAGCCCCGAGGTGTGATTCTGCCTTGGTGCTTTCATTATTCATTAACCAGCACCCCCGTGCTCAGGAGCATACATCACCCAGGATGAGTTATCTTCTGCCCAGGAGTTTCGGTGCTTACAGCTCGAGCTGGCAGAGGGATTTAAAACCCATCAGTTAATACTACTTTAACAGAAGCACAGCTGCAGTCTGGAGGATATAAATGTGGATTTATTTCACTACCTATTACCAATGATTACAAAGATCTCAAAAGAATTACTAATCCGGAGGATTTCAATTGCGCCCTGTGAGTGTCAACTGCAGGTTTGCCACTACAGTGCATTTAATTCTTCCAGTAAATGATGTATCCCCTCTAATTGCAGTAACGGCTCAGGCTTTCTCTGCACAGCACTTCAAAGGCTGTGAACATGAAGCAAGTGGCTCCCGTTACATCTGGAAGTGGCACATCTGCCCTGGCTGCCAGGCGGCCGAGAGCACTTCAGCTGGGGCCGCTCCTGCTGAGCACCTCTGCCCGTGCTGGCTTGAGATCTCAAACCCCAAAACCTCTACCTCTGCCTGCCCTCGGCTGGCTTGCTGCTCCTGTGCCTCTCCAGCAGGGCAATCTAACATTCAGATCTTACAGACCCCAGTGCTTGTTTTTACAGCCCTTCACACAATGCAACGAAATCACTCCCAGCATAACAGAGCCTCTGAGATTGGATGGGCATTTCTTTCAGTGCCTTTGTTGTGGTGTGCCAATTGAGAGGGAATACATTCAGAATATGATTTTTATCCTTTCCTATTCATTAAGGAAAAAAAAATCAATACTCTTCTCACCCTAATTTCCTATGGAAATAGGCTTTTCAATGACATGTTTGTGTGTGTATAGGTGTGGCCATCTCTGTCTGTAAGTACTTCCCCAATAACTTTTATGGTGGTTGGTGGAATTTATCCAGAGCTGATACAAAAGAAATATCACAGGTAACTGAGCTCCCACAACTTCTGTGCAAGGAGGCAGACGTGTGAAGGAGAGAGAGCTGTCCACCAAAAGCTGTTTTGTGGACAGAGCATGGACATGGGCGGCAGCCCACACAGATATCCCACTCCCAGAAACTCAGCTAAGAGACAAGACATCTGCAAGACTGAAATGTTCCCCGAGCCTCTTGTGTTTGCAGCACAGATGGATTGATAGAGGGATCTGGCCTCTGTAAAATGTCTCTATGTTATTAAAATTCTGAATGAAATGGGCTCCTCAGCAGAACTTTCTCTTGCATGGAGGCCATGAAGCCATCCCTTCCACCACAGGGCTGAAATGCACCATCAGGACAGGCTGGGCTGGTATTAGCAATGTCTGGGTTTTTCTTCATTTATGGTTGGAGACCTTAATTTCCTGCTGCTTATATCTGGAGCCTTTCACACAGAAGTGTATTAGGAAGTCTAGCAGAGGTGAAAAAAAGAGGATAATTAACCCCAAACAGAAAATTCTCGACTGCTTGGGAATTCCTTTCTATTTCCAGTTTTTAGAAATATTGAGATTGGTCATTCTGGCCAACTTTTTATAGAAATAGAAAATGACCCTGAAACTTGGACCTGTATCAAAGACTGGGAACCCAAAATATTCTTCCCAATATTTTTGCTCTGGTTCAGATCATAGATACTGGTTCAGGATCTTCTCCAGTGTCTATGGTATTTGATAGCTAATAACAGCAGCAGACTGGGTAATTTTTAAGCTTAACAGGTGTCATATAACTCAGCAGCAGCTTATTAAACTCTCAGTGAGGCTTGAAGTTGCTATCAGGAACCCTGGTGATCTACAGGGCATTGAGGGCTCTTTTAACCCACAAAGTATCAGCAACAAAGTCTTTCTAGGAAATACAATAATACCCTTTTTTTTTTTTCATAATGGTGGACTTTGAAACTCCAATTTAGGAAAAATTGAACTTAGCTGGGTGAAAGCTCCTGAAGCAGTGGTCAGCTTTAAAAGCACAACAGCAGGATCTGTCTTGTACTACAAAAAATCAAGCCAAACCAAACCAGATTTGGTGAAATACCTGGCTCTGTGCCCTCCTGTGTAAAGCAGTGCAGAAGAATAAAAACCATGAAACAGAAGAGGTGGCAGAAAAGGAAACAACGCAATTAAATTCATTAATAACTATGCTACAGCATCTGCACAAGGCCTGAAATCCTTGCAGGTCTTCTCAAAGTCTTCACAGAGGATGCCTTGAAGAAATGTGTAGACAAAGGTGGCCACTGGTCCACGCTCAGTAAGGCACCCACGGGCTGTTTTCCACAACAGGATGTGATGTGGAAGAGATGTTTTGTTTCTTTGCTTGAGTATGAGGATACAGTCCCTTATATACTTTGGAGAGGAAGATGGAATATTTAACTTCCACTTCTGTACCCACTAGAGAGAGATAAATAAACTGCAATCACTGCCTAACAGATACTAAAATATTGAGAAGCACTTCTGGATACCTCTTGAGAGTAAGATATAATATCCCACTGAGACGCTCCAAGTTTTACTCCTTTCTTTGAATGATTACTGATATGTTTTAAGTTATGATTTTTAGAAATACAAATATCATAATGCATTTTTTTTTCCTCATAGTAACAACTTTGTTCTGAATCTTGAGCCAGGACTTCAGGATCTAGCCTAATGATAATGAAGATGCATATTTTCTGAAGTGTTGCTGATGGTGTAGGAACAGTTTTTTTTCCCACAGGTTGCAGTGTATTTAGCTGACATTTAAAAAATAAAAATTGTTTGTGACTTGGTTTTAATCCGTGTTCAAGGGCTTCTCTGACAAGGTTAGTACTACCCAATCTCACTAAGTGTTGTTCAGGTAACTATAATTAGAGTGTGATGTATTCAGATAATGTGATAAGGGAGGGAACTGTGGTGCCTAAGTGAAGATTAAGTTTTTGTTTTGGGGTTTGAGATCTCAAGGTACATGGAGTTTTGAACAGTAAATCAAAGTAGTGATCCTAAATTGTGATGACATATTACCTTCTCCTTGCTCTTTCTCAAATAATCCTGTAACACTCCTGTCTGTACCATTGCAGAATTATGCAACAGGGGTTTGTTTTTGGATGACTGAGAGTGATGCAAATGCCTGTTCACTTTGTTTGTGGCCATGCTTTACATGACCACGTTGTTGTTGGCCATACCACCAGCTGTGTCTCTGGAACAGCCACTTCCCGTGGTTGTATTTATCAACAACAACATTCCCTGGTGGCCTGGGAGTGTTTGCAGCAATCAGCACTGGAAGATAGAGCATTTCAATGTCTGACAGTATTTCTCAAGGCAGGCTGTACTTTGGTTTTCTCCCCCTCCTCGTCCTGAAATCCGTACACAACAAGATCTTTCCATAACATTACTGCTCTGTTGTCATTTAAAATAGGTTTCCACCATGCAAGATGCTAGCAGCTTTGCAGCAGAGGACCTTGTCTGCAGGGTACTTCTGTCAATAGCAATTTTCATCTTGCTCTTGAGCACGAGCTTACGGGAGGCGATATCTGATAGCAGTGGGAGACCCAGGAGGATAGATGGGTCAGGCTGCTGTCCCTTCTCCATCACCAGCCTCTGCAGAGCTATTGCTTTATAGGCTCCTTCATCTGCCAGCCCTCTCACCCACCCTTCTTGGTGAGTCTGTGATGTAAAACTTGCTTGAAGAGTCTTTCTTGTTTTCTCATGGGACACCAGACACTTGTGACCTCCTTGGATCAAACTCTCCCCTGCCAACATGCTACATTCTTGTAGCTCTTGAGCAGCTACAGATACTTAGTGCACACACGTGCACACTATTAATAGAGCTAAGCAGGGTTTCTCCTGAGGGGGATTAGACTGATGGAATGAGTGCTATGAATGTCAACTGCAGAAGTGGTCGCATGGCTACAGCAATTACCTGCGGGCAGGTAAATACACTCTGTAATTGTCCAGCCTAAAATCCCACTAACCAGCTGATTTCTTTCTGGCAAAAGTGAGTCTTTTGGGATGGAGTGAAGACGTGGAAGGAAATTATTTTTAAGATCATTTGACAGCAAGTGCTTGCAGATACAGGCAATACAAGCTGCAGGGAGCTGACTGTATATTAAAAATAAGGCAATTAACGTGGAACCATGGGAAATTTGTCCCGGTGGTT